TCAGGAACCCACCTACAGTTTGTTGCTCCTTTTGATCATACACTTCTCATGGAAATGGGAGGGAAAAGGAGAAAAAGTGGGAGGAAGCGGAGTGGGAAGCGGGGAAGTGTATTAGCATTTGCTGAGCTGGGCACAAGAATCACTCAGGAAATTAAAAGCAGAATGATATTTTGGGGTGATAAAACATTAGAGTATGAAACTTGCATTGGGCTCAGATCCAGCCTAAATTTTTCCTTTTTAAGCCGCAGTTTAGGAAAAGTTGAACACTTGCCAGTGACAAGTGCAGGCTCTGGACTCTTGCAAAAGGGAGAAGGAATTAAATTATGTTAGTTGGTGATGAAAAGACATAAGAAATGCAGAAAGAGTACAAAGGAAAAAGGTAACCATGGAGGTGAAACAAAGAGGTACAAGAGTTTCCTTACACAATGTATTAATTAAGGCAATGCAGTGATTTTCAGGGACTCTGAGCTCACTCAAAGCCTGACCAAAGAGGTCAGGCAAGGTCCATGCCCTGGGGGCCTTTGACACAATGCAGGGTGGTGGTGGTGGTGTATTCCAGTGCCCTGCTCTTGGATGAAGCCTCAGCCTTCCATAAGTAAAGTTATAAACCTTTTGTTCTGTTGGGTTTTTTTTTGGCTGTTATTATTTTCCTATGGTTGGAAATACACCCAAAGAGGGTGTACAGCCTGCTGCAAAGGCAGCATTTATTTGATAAATCAAATAGCCCAAATGCAATGTAACATAAAAGCCTCGGGTGGTTGGTTGGTGCTGATTTTCCTGTTCTCTGTGTGTGAACGTGGTTCAGTGGCAAGAAGCAGTGTAAGCCCTCCTTACACAAACTGGGACTGGCACCCAGCGTTCCCCCATGCCCAAGCTCTGTGGTCCCTCTCCTGCAGAGGCTGATCCCTCCCTGCTGGGGCATCATCCCTGTCCTGTTTGTTTTCGTTCATTCAGCCCCTTGAGCAGAATGATCCCCTGAGCAGATTCAATCACTGATTTTCTCTCATTCCCTTTCACAGCTGCTGTTGGAGGTACAGCTGTCACTACACCCATTCAGGGGAAATAGATGATCAAAGGGGGAAAGACAGGAAAACACCATTTAAGGAATAAATGCAAAGTTATGATGCCTCTGTTTGCCCGAGAAAGAGAGATTTTTATGCAGCTTTTGGCATTTACAAATCCTTTGTGAAAAGGTCACCCTGTAGTTGGAATCTTATTAATACAGAAGAGCAGCCCAGAAAATGTCATGTCTTTTTACGCTGCTATTTACCCAGAAAGGAGTGACTCAGCAGCCAGGGCTCCTCTGGCAGGAGGGCACAAACAGCTCAGGGTTTGGTGACAGTGCCACCAGTGCCAGCGACCCCGGGAGCACAGGGTCTGTGTGTGCACACCCTGCACCCCTCTGACTGCAGGGGGGCAGCCCAGTAACTGCCCACTGTGTAAAGTGTGCATATACACAGCCAAAAAATACCCCCAAAAGGGTGTAACTGTTCTAGAAACACACACTTTGGGTATGGGTATGGGTATGGGTATAATCACACCCAGCAGGGCATGGGGACGGAGTTTTGGCAAGTAAAGGCTCAGAGCTCTCAGGGCTCAGGCTGTGAGGGCAGTGTGAGGTGTTGCAAGGGGAAGGCAGAGTGCACACTGAAAAAGACATGCAAAATGCTTTTCCTCTGGAAAATCACTAAGAAAAAGTTTGTCTGTCATCTGCAGTTTATATTTCAATCTTTAATCTACTGCTTTTAGTTATGTTTGTCCTCACTTCCTTCAAGGGGATTTTCTTTCCGTTTGCCTTAGTGGTGGCTCATTTTACCTTTAATATGTTTTGGCAGAACTGAGGTATTTATTTTAGCAGAGCAGTGAAAACAGTTCTGAGCGTGGCAGCGATCTCCGCGACTCCTGCCGTGTCAGCGCGGGGTTAATGCCTGGCTCGGGCTGACCCAACAATCAATCACCATCACACCTCACACTGTACACAATTTCTTCATCTTTAATAACTCGCACAGTGAAACATTTTGCCAGTTCTGACATGTCGCAGACTCACGCTGAATGGAGCTGTCTTGTTCTTAATTTTCTAACCCATTACAATATTTTCATTTTACTTTTCTCTTTACTGGACCTGCAAGAGCTCAAGGTGGTGTTTATAACAGAGAACAGCTGTGATACACCATCTCTGACTGGAAAGTTCTCAATATCACTGCTTCTTTCATTTTTATTTCCCATGGGATTTAAGGCTCCCACTGCCCTGTCCTGTGACCCAAACATTGCTTTCCTCTCAGGACACAGATGAGCATGAATGCTCATGAAAGGATGTACATTCTCTCTTGGTTATTCATGCATCACTGCTCACTCACAAGCTGCCTAAATTCTGCAAAGTCGTGGGCAGAAGGTCTCTGGTGCTCACCTCCACAGCCAGCATCATGCCAGTGAAAGATTTTACAGGAATGTAATTGCATTCCAAGATTAAATACCCCCGGTCTGGGTTTTTAGAACCACACCCAATTTAACAGCATTTCTCTTCCACTGCAGCTATACAGCCTGAGTACCACATTCCTCCTCCTTTCCCCCCTTCTCCCCTCTTCCCCCAGCCCACCTCAGGTGCATTTCACCGTCACCTCCTGGTCCTCAGGCTCTGCTGGGGAATTCAATTCTCACTGGGGAATTGCTGTCACTGCCACTGCTGCTGCAGTGATTGTACCTGAAAAAGGAAAATTGACAGACAGCAAGCAAACCAATGGCTTCTGAATCCAGCTGCAGAGCCCCAGGTGAAGGTCACCCACGCCTCTGTGTGGGAGCTGTTAGTGTTCATGTTTGTGAAGCCTTTTGTGAGCACTGTAAGGATGAAAGGTGATGGCTTATGTTCCTGTGCCTGTGTACACACACACAGACCCCCCTACGTTGGAACACTGTGCCAAAGAAATTATGTTGCACATAATTTATAGTGTCATCTTTGATTAATTTGCATTTATTTTCTCATTATGGCTCATCCCTCATTTCAAAGGCGTCCTTCAAACCAGAACATGGGAAGAGGACCAAGAAGTGACAGACAGCAAGGAATAATCTTAAGGCAGAGCCCAGGAAAGCCTTTCCCACTGCCACATCTCTGGTTTGGCACTCCCACTCCACATCCCACATTGCTGCTTCCCACAGACACTTTCCTCTTTGGAGAATTTGTTTTCCCAGAACTGATTCACTGTGTTCCAATGGCCACAGAGTCACCAGTCACCCTTATCAGTCAAGGAACAAAGAAACGCCTCAATCAGTAAGATTAGCCATGGGTCATTTGACAGCTACACAGAGTCACAATATGCAGAAATACAAACAGCCCCGTGCCATTTATCCACCTCCTCAGTACCCCCTGCCCCAGTGTGGCGTGTCTGGGCAGCTCTGTGTTGAAGAAGTGAGTCCCTTACTGCCACAGCTCAGCCATCAGAGCCAACGAGGCCATGACCTGGCTGCAGGACACGTCCCCAGTGCTGTGACCCCTTGCTCTCCCCCTGCCCAGGGCGGCCACTCTGCAGGGACACCGAGGACACCTCTGCCATTGTGCAGTAAATCACAGCTCCCCTGGCCACAATCATTGTTAAAAGAGCTTGAGAACATCATAAACAGGACTCGTCTGGGGAGATATTTCATCTTGAGCTTTGATGGCGAGGTCAGCGCTGCTCAAACACATCCTTCAGCTACAGGTCAGCCCTTCCTGCACATCTATTTTGAGACCTCCATACCCCATTTGCTAACCCCTGAAACTGTCACAAGACCCTCTGAACTCTTATCTCTCCCTAAAATCCTCCCCAACACTGCTGTCTCTGGAGGCACAAGTGGGTGCTCAGAAAACGTGTGCTCACCTTTCTGCTCACGTGTGAGCTGTACAACACAGACACAGTTTGTTCTTTGCCTAATACAGAATTAAACCTTATGAAACTCACTGAGTGATATGTTTTGTCCCATGAGAGATTTGCTTCAGAAATGCAAAGACAGAAAAATACTCAACTGTCATTACATACCAGTTTTTAATCAGCTGGGAAATGCTGCTTCTTCCCCCAAAAGAGCAGGCTGCATAGAAACAATGTTCTACCTCTGCCTCCCCCAACACCACTTCCTTTTCCCACAGAAATTTTCCATTTTAATTAGATTCCTTTATTACCACCCTCTTTTCTAGCACATCTTTTCTTGCTGTTCGACTTTTTTCCCTCTACATATCTATTTTTCATTTTCTTCAATTGCCAAGAGCTACGGCATGTGTCTGTGTGCATGTGCTGGGGGAAGGAGAAGAAAGAGATAAGAAAGGAATAAAAAGAGAGAAAAGATGGAAAAAAATTAATCTGATAATTGTTGGAAAGAATTGCTCTCAGCAGCAAAAGTACTGACAAGGCACTTTCATGAAACCAGAAAGTTTTCCTGTTTTGGCAGGGTGGAGGTGACACCCACAGGCCCTTCCCCACCCTGGCTGCACCCCAAAAGTGTCAGGGGTAGTGAAGCCCTGGCTGCCTGTTAGTGCCTCTGCTCTGCCTTGAGGACTTTATGCAGAGAGCAAACCAAGCAGAAACAAGTAATCTCTGGTTTCTAAGCCACTCCCAGGTCACTGACAGCTCTGAACCACGATGCTGAGGAGGGGGATGCCCCTGGGGCTGCTGGCCCCAGAGCTGTGCTGTGGGAAGTGCTGATCTGTGTCGTTCCTTGATGCACGTTAAAGCTTACATTTGCATTCCAACTCCAATGAAAAATTTATGACTGTTAAACTTCTGTATGTCATAATTAAACACAAACAATAATTTCCAAATAACTGTTTACCATGCTGCATATTCAATTGTGCAATCAATCTCAGTGACTCTTTTTCCTTGCAAATGAAGGGAGGCGGGCTGTGCCCGCCACACGCGCTCGCACCCAGCCCGGGGAAGATGAAGAGTCAATCTGACATTTCAGGAGACAGCAGTTACCTGTGGAATAAATAGATTGAGGCCCTGTCATTCCCAAATAGATGCCACCTCCTCCTGCTATTTGTTTGGAGGAAGCCTCCCAGAGAGATGGATGGGACAACTGCTGCTCAAGCATTAATCTTAATGCAGAGAGAGAGGGAAGCAGCTGCTTGCAGAGCTCTGCCAAGGGACCCCAGACCTACAGGAATGTGTGTGAGGTGGTGCCAGCCCTGCCCCCAGTGACTGCCCCACAGCCAGGACCTGCTCTGGAGGGGACAGGGACCAAGTGACCAACAGAGACCCCCGTGCTTGTGACAAGCTCCAGCAACAAGCAGGCAAGGGGATGTGCAAGGAAAGCTCCACTGAAAACTGGCAGAGGAAAAAGACCTTGGCATGAGGATAAGGTCCTGCCAATGGCCCCATCCCTGGGCATTCCTGTCCCTGCCAGCTCAGGTGGCTTTGCTGGCAATGCCCAGGGTGGGCAGTGAGGAGCCAGGGCTGCTGTGGAGTAAGAAAGTGGCTCATGCTGAGTCAGTGGCACTGTCAGCCACGTGCTGCTGGGATCCAGAGCAGCCTGTTTCCTTCATGGCACAAAACCTGCACTGCTGACCTGCCACTGGGTGCTGGCTTCACAGGGAACTGCACTTGTCCTGGAAACAAGGTGAGTAAAGACATAATGGAGTTCAGTGATGCAACACAAGTAACAGTGTCCTTTTACATTACTAACAGCACACACTACGCTGTCTGGATCCCTGTTCTCCTGAGGACACCCCTGGGAAGCTCTCTGTAAATAGGATCTCTCAGTCAGTGTGCTCTCCCAAAGACTGCATTAATCTCCCTCTGTGAATGCAGTCTCGGGGGGCAAGGGCTGTGCTGGGCGGGAGGAGGACGTGGCTCCTCACCTGAGCTGTGTGGGGACTGTCCCAAGCCTCATCTCTCCGTGGCTGAGGCCCAGAGCAGGGCAGGGACCACCCTGCAGGAGAGCCCACGGCAGAGGGGCTGAGACAGGGCCACAGCCCCTGGGGGCTTGCAGAGGGGCTGAGCAGAGCAGGGGGATGCAGGAACCTCCTTGGCAGCCCCTGAGCTCTGCTGCCCCTGTAAGCAGGTGTCAAGGAGCCTGGAGTGTACTTGTTAGCTCAAGAGCCTCCTAACTGCTTCTGAAGGATTTCTTTAAATTGTGGGTTTGTCCCCAGGTCTGTTCTAGACTGGAAGCTGTTTCCACCCAGAGACTTTGTGAAGTTGAATACTGCCCCAGCCTGGGTCCCAAAAGATGGTTTCTGTGACTCCAGTCCCTGCTCCTGCAGAGCAGGACAGGGCTGGCAGCCCATGCACCCTGCCCTGTCCCCCTGCCAGCAGGGCAGTGTGCCCCATGCAGCAGCTCCCAGGGACATCCTTCTGCTCAGAAGATTTCAGCTCTCTGGCTGTCAGCTTGCTGGCTTCCAGAAGGACTGACTCCCTAATTAAATTAAATTCTTGAGCGGTATTTAATGTTGCATATGCAACATTAATTTTGTGCTAGCATGATCAGTGCCATATTCACACTTGTTTATTCTCAGGGTGTTAACGCAAACCCTGTTGTAAACACATTTTCACAGGTCAAAAGCAAAGCATAAAAATCAAGAAAAATATTTCCATCATTATGTTTTCTAATTCTACAGTAAATGTGATGAGAGAAAGAATGTCTTGAGAGCAGGAGAGGCTGTTGGAGGGCCCTGCTGCTCTGAGACTTGTCATCCCACAGGGGAGCTGCTCTCACAGCCACATCCAGCAGCAAACCCTACCTGGGAGTCTAACCAACCCCAGAACGTTTTGTCTTCCCTTCTGGCTGAGCCCCATGTCCTGCCTGGGCAGGAGGTTTTAGATGGAGTGAAAAGTTTACCCCAGGGCAAAACAAGGGAAGAAAAAGGCTCTGAAAGGCACAGAACCCTCACTTTGGATTGCACAAATTCAAATGCTCCCACTTGGACCTCAAAACTGTGTCAAACAAATGCAACTTATTGTCTCTTTCTCTGTCTTCAGTCAAACAAAGCTGCTTCCACTGCTGGGGAAACCCCTGGAGAAGTGCTAGCACCCTAAGTAGCCCCTGTAAGCAGAACCAAATCAGGGAAGCGAGCAGGCAGCAGAGCAAACAGATTCCATTTAGTGTCTGTCGGGCTCTGCTGGCTTCACAGAGAGGCTGCAGCAGCCTGGCCTGCCTGTGTTCAGAGGGCACCAGCAGACTGAGGTGGAAACAGGAGGCTGCTGATGGGGCTGGGCTGTTCCTGCCTGACCTCAGCTGAGCCAGGGGTGCTGCAGCTCATCAGTGCACACATCCCTGCCAAACCCTGCAGGCAAAGCCTCTGCAGGGCTCACCTGTTCACAAACAAAGCACACACCTCTGGTGTGAGCCCAGGTGAGATCAAACCGCTGCTGAAATGCTCCTTGTGCCCTGCTCCTCCACACACTGCTGCCAACCCCTGTCACCCACCAAACTCATTTCCAGCACTGTAACACCTCGTGGGCAAACTGCTCGACCAGCACAGCAGGGACCACCCAGCCCTGGCAGCGTGGGACAGACTCCTGCCACCCTGAACAGCCCTCACAGCCACGGAGGAAGCACCAGCAGGAACTGAGGGCAAGAAAATTTACCTTGTAACTGCCAACAAGCCCCATATTTCCTTGCTTGCACATGAACAAGGGAATTTTGCTCTCTTGCTGCATTAATGCCACTTGTGAAAACTAACTTGGGAGGCTGGATGTTTTTTCCAGGGTAAGGAGATGTTCCAATTACCACTAAATTGCCAGCACTTGGAACAACGCTGCATATTAATTCAAAGCAAGTGAATGTTCATTGAATTACCCAGAAGAGTAAACAGCTTTTTGTGGGCTGTGTAAATAATCCCAGGGTAACGAAGAAATTGGGAAAAGAGATTTTAAAAACTAATTTGCCTGGGCAGAGAAAAAAAAATTTCAAAGTAATGAGTAAAAGAAAGGGTTATCAGTGAAATGGTTATTGTGGTTGTTACAAGCTGGGCCATGTATTTGTGACTGGAGGAGCAGCCCAGGCTGCCCATCACTCCAGCACTGCCCAGAGACCCTCCTGGGGCAGGAGCAGCCCCATCCCTGTCCCACAGCCCCTGTGGCTGCCTCAGGCTCCCCACGACAGGAGAAACAGGGACCAAGTGCTGTGGGGGAGGGAGGGGCTCAGGGGGTGCTGTTCTGCCCACCTGAACCAAACTCTGATGCCTCTGCAGCTCAGTGTCCACTACAGCCACCACTAATGAACAAAGGTTTAATAAACACACCTGGCTTCAGCGGGTTTTTCACAATTCTCCTTTTTTCCCAACTCAGCTCCCTCATCGCTGAGCTAATGCACTAATGGACACTCACCATTACCTAACTTCCGACCTAATGGGCACAGCAAATAAGTGAAAGGCTCATAAAATCAAATTTACTGAGCATCATTCCTTTTGCTGTCCATTAACTGAAACTATTTATCAGGTTAAGCAGATCCAGGGTATGGAGCTACATCCATCTTGTATTAATGCTTTTACATGGACATTTCAGGATCCCAGGCTCTCCAGCAGTTGCAGGGAAGTGCTGTGAGGCCAAGCTCTGCTCCTGGCAGTGATTTCAGCAGCTTGAGGGGTGCAGCAGCCCTGTGGGATGGGTGGGTTTCTTTTCCTTAAGGCACAAAGGAGCTCCAGTCAACTGGCTGCTGCAACATTCCCAGAACAGCAAAGTGCTGTTAACCTTGATGACAGTGTCTGGTTTATAAACACCAAAACTAGAGACAGATTAGATGAACTTTAAAAACTTTCATGTATATATATTTAAGGGTTTTCCCTTGCTAAATTACTTTTCTCCTTTCTAAACTCCCAAGGCCCCAGTAAAGCCAGTCAATAATCCATTACAATCATTTGGGGACCAGTAAAGCTCTGAAAAATAGCATATGCACTGTGGATTTAAAGAAACCATCTGAACCACAGTAAGCCTTGAAGATAACTTTGAAATGCATTTTTATTTCTCAATAATTTCTTGAGAACCATTAAAAGAAATGAAAACTCTGCACCCTGGACAGACACAGGATGGTAAAGCACTGTGAGGGGAAAAAAAATATCCTCAGTACCTTGGAAAGGATCTCAGGAGTGTTCTGGCAGCAGAGGAGACAGCTGCAGCTCTGTGCCTGTCACCCCAGAGCCTCACCTGCACCCCTGGGTGCTGCTGCTCCCTGCTGCTGGCACACGTGGGGTGCTGCCCCCCAAAACACAAGCACCTGCTCATGGTGGGGGCTTCCTGCCTGAAATGGTGCTTGGTCCCCAGAAACCCAGCCCTTCCTCTCTCCTTTCTCCTACTAACCATCCATTTGACTGTTTTCTAAGACAAAACAGCAGCCTCATTGCACCCAAGTAATGACATTTCTTGAAAGCCATGCTGTGCACACAACTCACAATGAATCAAACAGCCTCTAATGTCTCCTGACCTACTTCTCAGATCCTTCATTGTATCTGTTTAAGATAAAACCCTTGCCAGGATTAAAGCATTCATGGCATATGTCCAAAGGTCAGAAAGGGCCATGCTGCAACCACAAACAAAAAAAACTGCTCCTGGCAGTTTCAGTGTTGTATTTTACCTTCAGGACAGGAAAAACTTATTTAAACTGTGAATTATCATGCCTGTGGGAAGAGCTGGAGCCTCTCACTGCAGAGTGGTGCCTCCCAAGCCAAACCCAGCCTCTGAATGTACCTTTCTTCCTGTAAGGTGAGAACATGACATCAACAGAAATTGATGTCTGTTTTTGCTCTTAAATACCTCAATTTTCTTCAGTATTTATGCTATAAGTGGGAATTAAGCAGTAAAGAATTTGAAGCCATGAAACAATTAAATTCCTGGTTTTCCATTTTCTCAGCTGTGGGTTAATTTGGTCCCCAGCACAGGTGGCACTTAGCAGTGGAGTACCAAATGCATTTGGAACATTTCTTAAGCACTCCCAGCTGGCAGGAGAGTGAGCTTGGCTTTGAAGGCCACAGTGGTACCAGCTCTGACCAGAACCAGAGCCTGGGGCAGTGACAGGGCTGCACAGTCTCCCCTGTGAGACACTCTGCCAACACGTGGGGATGAATTCTGAGTGGGATGGTCCCTTTTGTGAGTCCCTCTCTGTGCCCCAAGTGGCTGAGGACAGACAGAAGCCCAGCCTGGTGTCCCACTGGAATGAGGGCAGGGCCACGCCGTGGGCAGAGCCCAGGGTGACACCCAAGCCACAGCAGGGCAATGCCAGCCCAGCAGCCTGGCCCCAAGCTGCCTCAGGCCCCGGGGAGCCCAGGCAGGGCTGCAGCTGCTCTCGGGGCAATGGCAGTGAAGAGAGGAGCAGGGTGCACTGTGAGCTGGCTCTCAGCTCCTTTAGCAACTGATGTCAGCTGGGCAGGCTCAGGCTATTTCCATTCCCCCCATTAACCTCGGCCCTGACAGATTGTGCTGCTGCACTTCAGGGACCATCCATCAGCCCCCAGCTCCCAGGGACACTGCCTCCATTTCACTGATGGTGGCTGAAGAAAGATTCCATTGTTTTTGCAGGGCCAGGCCTCCAGGAACCCGTGGTGCTGCTGGAAAGGTGCTGGCCCCTCAGCTGGGTCAGGACCTGAAGCAATGCCTGCTGTGAGGGGACAGCAGGCACTTGGGAAGGGCTCTTGCAGATGAGCTGAACAGCTGCTGGCTCAAAACACCAGGGTCTGTGAGAATTTGACTATTTGTGTTTAATTTTTATTTGTCAGAGATGGCCAACTCTAAGTTCTAGAGTTCTACTTCAAATTTGCCACTTTCTTGCATGCTGAATTTCTGCTCTAGCAGGAATAGGGCCTTCAGTCTGAACCCCCTGTGCTGTCAGTGAAAGATTACATGAGATATGTGATGTGGGACAAATCTTTCTGATTTTTCAGAGGAAGCTTCATTATTTCAATTTTCTCACGTTCTGGAGAGGAAAAAGAGTTCCCATACAAGGAGTCCTCTGCAAGGGAAAATGTTGGTTACTTCAAAGGCTCTGTTTGAACAAAATATAATTTCACTTGAGCCTGACTTGTGGAAAGTGTCAGAAAACGGAAATATTCAATTCTGAAAACACAAACAGGCACTCCTCCTTGAGCATCCTGGAATGAGGCTGGAATGCTGGCCCCTTCCCAGAGTGGATTTTCCCTTCCAAGCTCTCCCTAGAATACACGTTTTGTTGGAACTCCATGGCCTCCAACACCTGCAGTTACACTGATGCCACGGCTAAGGGCTGTGTTCCATAGGAAGTCAGCCCATCCAGATCTGGGCAAATCAGCCCTTATTACTTATTTATGAGAGTTAATTTCATGTGCTGGCATTTCACACGCCATATGGAGGAGCGGCTGCCCAAGCCAAGCTGCAGGCAGCTCTCAGCTGCCTTTTTTCTTGTTGTTGTTTTAAATACTGCTGCTCGTGACTGAAGCAAGGTTAATCACTGCTTTTACTAAGAAAAATTACTTTGTGAGAAACCCCAAATCCTCACCTCCCAGGCATGATTATGCCACAGAGAGCTGGTGTGGCCCAGCCAGGGCTGCAGCTGCCTGGTGCCCCAGGATTCACAAACAGATTGGCTTGGGAGGAACAGTTACAGATCATCAGATGTTGGGAATGTGCAGCCACGTCTGTTAATTTCCGCAAGCAGTTCCTCCGGTATTTGCTCACCTGATGGTGACTGACAGAGGAACAGTCCAGAGTGAATTGCCATCACAGCCCGTGTGCTGCACACCCAGCAGTCAGTCCTGCTGCTGTGTTCTGTGCCTCCCCTATCACTGAGAAACCTCTCCTCACCAGTATCTGCTGTCACATCTGGAGTCTTTGTCACTTTTGGGAAGCTGTTTGTAAGGGTATCAAGGCCCAGGTTTGACCAGAAACTCTTATTGTGTAAACAAAACTAGACCTTGCAGACTGGGGATTTGCACTGCTTCAGCTGCCTGACAAGCTGATCCCTGACATCCAGCCAGACAAAAATATACATCCAAAAATATACAGCTATTTTCAGTATTACTTCTCCTCAGATGAGGTATGTCTCCAAAGATAGCACTGAGATAGATTCACAGCAAGGTTGTGGCACTTCTGGTATTTGCAGTATGAGAATGACATTTATGATAAGAAAAATGGAAGACATGTGGAGCGGTAATGATGGCAACAACACTTCACTGGGGACACAGAAATTACATAAGGAAATGAAAGCCGAAATGGTAGGATGCAGGAAGGGACCACGGCAGCTGGGAAGCAGAGGAGCAGCAGGGCTGGGGTGGGCTCAGGGGGCAGCTTTTGTCTGGGGTGGGATGAGCACGAGAACAGCCCCAGCAGTCTGGCACTGGTGGGGACCTGAAGGAGCCCCGAGAGAGCCCAGGGTCTGAGCACGTGGGAACAATAATCACACCCACCTGGTTCCCCCCATGCATCCTTCCTCACACAGCACCAATTCCCTCCCTTTTCCCCACATAAATCTCTTTTCTTCTGGAGATTTCCATGGCTAGTGCATCCTACACAAACCTGTTTGTTTTCCTCATTTATGAGGCATCGTGGATCTATCTGTGAAATGCTACAAACACTGTAATAGAAAAATTGTTCTCATTACAGTCTGAAATTAAAATTTACTAGAAGATGCACAAAGCAGAATAAACTTTCAATTAAAATCTAAACACTGTACTGAGAAAGAAAACTGGAGGGAGCTCCTAGGTTTCTTTGCATTAAAAATGCTTGAGATTTAATTTCACTGTGACATCTCCTTGGAATTACACTGCTAATTGATCAAATTTTGTCTGTCTGTTATTTAAACTTTCAATAAAACTTAGATTAATGGAAGGTGTAATCCTCCCGGGCAGAACAAATATTCCCATTGTTCGTGTCAGGTATGGAATAGCAATGCCCCCACTAACAGCTTCTGCATTCAGCCTGGGAACAAGAAGTTAATCATAAAAGTGTGGTGATTCCTTAATTGCTTGAATGAAATTTTCTCTGTGTGCCATTCTCCCCACCCCCAGTCTCTACAACTGCTGCTACAGATCTCTAAAACCACACAGGCAGCGTTTCCAGGACTGACTTGCTTTGTTCCTGGTGGAAATGAAACCCCAACTTGCTCTGCTCATGGTCTCCCAGAAGGATAGAAGCACCTTCAAAGAAAAAGCAAGCAACAGCTTTATGGAATCACAGAGTTAAGGAGGTTGAGACCCCCAAATCCAACAGCTCCCCCAGCACTGCCAAGGCCACCACTGAACCCTGTCTCTAGGTACCACACCTGCATGTCTCTCAAACCTATTCAGGAATGGGGATTCCACCACTGCCCTGGGCAACCTGCTCAGTGCTGCACACCCTTTCCCTGCAGAAATTTCCCCCAGCATCCAGTCTAACCCTCCCCTGGCACAGCTTGGGACTCTTTCCTCCCTTGTGACCTTCTAGAGCGGATGCCAATGCAGTAAAAATCAGCTCCCATCTCTGGCAGCACAGACAAAGAAGCCTGAGCCAGGAGGCAGGAGCATCCTACTCTCCTGGAACGCCCAAGGAACCTCTGTGCATCCCTACAGCTTCTGGACTGGCTGAGGGGATCCCAGAATTCAAATCTGGCTGTGGGGACACTGCTGTTGAAGAGCCTTGGCCGCACACCAGCTGGACCCCAGCATTGCTGAGCATGTGGCTTGCACAGGCATCCACAGGAGCTGCAGCTGCAAATGAGCCCTTTGTTAGCACAGGCACCTCGACCTCCAGCTTTTGAAGATTTGGTGATTTTCCCACACAATGCACTCGCTGACACAATGTATTTTTTGATGCTTCTGGAGGTAAAACCATTTCTCTATTTCAAGCTGAGTTTGAATAAATTATAGAAAGCCTCTCCAAGATGCAGAATGCTTTCCAAATTGCTTATTTTAGTTTTCCATCTCAGCGAGGACTAAAATCTCTTGCATTTTTAGAGAAAGTGATTGACAGTCCAAGTGCCACCTGTGGGCTGAAATGGTTCTTGCTCCAGAAAACTGGGATTGGTCTTGGACAAAAGACATGCTACACAGACATGACAACACCATCATGGTTCAGATACTAATATTAACATACTGCAAAGAATTAGAGCCCATTTTTTACCATTCTTTTCCACTGTCAGAGCAGTGCTTCTGTGCCAAACTGTTAATATCCACAAGAGGAGAAAATAATGCACTATTTTTTCCTGACTTCTGCCTTTCCAGCAAATTTACTCTTTGCCAGACTAAGACCTTTTGTACTACATCTAATAAAAGTCCAAGAGGAGCACTAACAAGAGGGAGGAAGAATTCAGGAAGCAACACCTAGTTTGTATTCCTGCAGTGGTCCTGTTTGTTGTGAACTGCTAAATTAACTTCCATAAATTCATTGTGAAAACAAGCTGTAGAAAATAGCAAGGAACTTACAGTTTCTTCTGAATTAATACTGCATGGTAGCAGTTTATTTTAAGAATAATTAACGGTAACTCAGTGGTGGAAAAACCAGTCTTTTGATGCCTCTGAAGCACGTCAGTGGTACATGGCTATGGTTGTACCTGCTGGGAGTCCTGCTTAAAATATAGTCAAATATTTTCATAGCTGTGATTCATCTTTTCATCCTCCTAGTCCTGTGCTATTTATTACACATACACTTTGAGAGGAGAAAAAGGAAAAATCTGGTGTACCTGAGACAGGAATAAAAGGGTCCATTTCAGGCACTCTGCTCACACCAAGCCAGGTGTCCCTGGGACATCACCGTGGACAAGAACCAGCAGGAGGGATGCTGATCCAGTCAGATCACAGGTCCTAGAATGCCCCTCTGGCCTGATGAAGGTGGCAGCCCTTGGAGCCTAGGACAGGACACCTGGCCAGGGCTGTGCTGTGCTCCCTGCAGAGGTTTGACATCGCTCAGCTGAAACATGGCACGCTCTTCTTTGCTGGGCTGGGACAGGGCCTGCGGGGGGGGCTTGGCAGGAATCTGCATAAATGATTGATCCAGGTGAGTGGCACACACCATCCTCATTAAACTATCAGTGGGGCTGGAAATGAAAAAGATTCATGTCTGCTGCAGGAGGCTTTCAGGGATCAATATGTTCCAACATATGTTTTAATACTTACTCAGTTCTCACACGTGTCTCATGGGATTTCTTTATTTATCTTTTTCCCCCAAGGTTATGAAGCCAACTGTTTTTATGTGTTCTGAGGCAGACACCTGATTTTCATAATAAATCTCTTTCCTAGAAGGTGGAAAGCACGAAGCTGTGTTTCTTATCCACACAGAGCATGATCAGATTACACCGCGCACAGATCCCGGCTCACCGCTGCGCGTTGCTGGAGCCCCAGCACACCTCCGGGAAGATTATTGTTCCAAAAGGGGCTGAACACAGCTCCAGCTTGTTGGTGCTTCTGGAACGTTTTCTTCTCCCTTTATCTCTCCTTTTCCCAGAGGATGCTGTGCTTTGATCTCTCTGTAACACAGATCACAGTGACGCTGAGAGGTGAGAGGCTGTGCAGAACCATACTGGAAGTGGGAAAAGCTGTCCTCTGCAGCCCTGCAGTAGGAGGGAGAGCAGCCCAGGGAATGGGATTTGATGGGAAAGAAAGGGAAAAGGGCATGAGACTGCTGAAGCATGTGGGAGATGCAGAGCAGCCCTGGTTGTGCTGGCCTAGGAGCACAAACCAGTTCACAGCTGCTCTGTGACTTGGCTTCTGAGGCTCATGTGCTTGGTAACTAACCCAGCTCCTCATCAAACTAATTAATTGAGGGAGCTCAAGGGACCACTTGAAGCCAGTTCCTGGCAGGATGCTGTGGGCAGCCCCTTGCTCACTGCAGAGCACAGGACTGGGCTCTGCAAAGGCAGCTCAGCTGTGAGCTGGTGGGGTGGGTGCTCAGAGCTGCACCAGAAGTGACCCCAGCCCCTCGAGGTGCTGAGATGCTCCAGCCTCCCCTGCCCTCCTGGCTGGCCCCAGAGCCACGGTGGCCACTGCCCCAGCCCAGGCCACCAAGGGCACACAAATCCTCCACCCGAGGTCCCCATGTCCCTCTCTCTGTTCCAGGGAGGGGCGAGGGGCTGCTCCTGCAGCAGATGGGGCCATGAGCAGACGGTGTGTGACACCTCCCACACCTCCGAGCTGCAGCTCGCTCTGGAGACCATCACTGCTGGGTGGGAAGGGAAGACAGCACGCCTTCACACCCTGCTCTCATTAGCTGTGTGAGCATGTGCTGCTCTTTTCTCCAGCACTGCTTCCCCCTCTCACAGCAAAACCACAGGACAGGAAAGGAACACTGCTGGATTCAGACCTGGGCCTTTACACAAGAAATCAGGAATAGGATTTTACCTCAAAAATCCTATCCCAGGGGCTAAATAATAGGATAGAAACAATGTTTGCATGAAATCCAAAATCAACACAAGAAACGAGGTCTTTGCAATTGCAGTACCCCACCCAAGACAGCCCAGACTATCCCAGTATTGCACTGGAAATGTTGTTTGTATTCACACCATCATATGACTGCCTTCAGTCAGCATTACAGGTCTGTCACTTTCTAAGTGTATAATGTATGGTAAATACAGCCCTCTGACAGCACAGAAAGACACAAAAGCCAAAGGGCAGGAGGAAGCACATGCTACTCTGGTCCCGTTTCACATGCCAGGAGGAGGGATTTGGAAGAACGTTTGCTGTTCTCACTACAGCACATCCCTGCACTGACACCCATGGTCCCTGTGCCTGGATACCATGCTGTGGTAGGGAGCATTTGAATTTATATCTCCTAGCTATCCTACACAGAGCACAGAATTATCATTTGTAACCTAAAATTCCCACTGAAATCCTCCTTGGGTAATCCCTGCTGTGCCCTCTGCCCTCCCGAAGTCAGAGGTGCCACAAGCCCTGGGCAGGTGGCAGAGCGTGCTGGGAAGCACAGAGAGCTGCTTTGGGTCAAACACAGAGCTGGACACTGCTGCTGGGCTGACTGCTTTGATTTCACTCTACAGCACAAAGTGCTTGTGAGAACGCAAACATCCAGCAGGTGCTGAAACCTCATTCCCCTGGTGTGAGATCCAGAGCTGAGACACTGACGGATGCAAGGCCAGCTCGGCCAGGCTGACCCCAGCTGGGAGGGAGTGTGCAGCTCCCAGCCTGACCCCTCTCTCCAGTGCTAACCAGTCATCACCAGCTCCTCATTTTCATCCTCAGCAGGGGGACGATCCTGGACTGTGCCTTTCTCTCGTTTGGACAGCGAGTGATAACTGAATCAGACATGATGACACAATTGCATAGCTCATAGGCCCTGGGAACAGGGACTTCTTGTTGGCCATCCTGCCTGAGAGACCATTTAAAAATAATTAAAATATGGAACCTTTTATGAGGTTTATGATGCTTTGATCAAGGTTTTTAATTAACCTATCTTGCTCTCAGCTACTGTGAGTTCATTTTGCCCTCACTGACAGCATCATACTCTAATCCATGTGAGCCACAGGGCCCTGGCTGTGGAGATCTTTAACCCCTTGGCCACCAGCACCTCCTGCCACCGTCCCTAAGGGCCGTGGGGCTGTCTGAGGGTGGCGAGGAGCCTGGGAGCAGGTGGCAGCAGCAGGCAGAGCACACTGTGCCAGGTGCTGGCCAGCACAGCTGCAGAGCCGGGCAGTGCATCCATCACCAGTGCTGCCAGTGCCAAGGCCAGGCCATTCATCAAGCAGTCAATTGGGGAGCAGCAGCGGGGCACGGCCAGGACACGTCTCAGTGCTGCTGCCTTGGCAAGGGAAGTGTCAGGCTGAAATTAGTCACCCAAATCCCTGCAGTCAGAGAGACACAGGTCCTTCGCAAGGGTAATTTGCTCCATCAATCTGTGTGGAGACATTGAACCACTCAGAGGATGTTAAGTCAGTGGGGAGGGAGGTATAAATGTCACCTGACATTAATGTGCTGCCTCTGCAGGCGAGGGAAGCTGCTCTGCATCAGCTCAGGGCACATCTGCAGTGGCAGCGAGCTGGGCAGGTGGAAGACAACCACAAGTCATGATGCTCCTGCCAGGAGAAGCCTGTCAGAAGGAGCAGGCAGGGAAGGACTCAAAGCTCTCCTGCCTTCCAGAGTCCTGCTTCCTCTACCAAAGCTGCCATCAGAATGAACTGTTCAAACTGCTAAACGTGGGGGTATCTGCATCAAGCTCCCCAGGCTGCTCACAGGGTGTGGATCCCTGCACCAAGCAGGACACGATGCTCCCAGCCAGGAGATGTGGCTCACTCACTGCTCATGTCCCCCAGAGAAACTGCCCTGCAGGTACTGGCTGGGAGCAGCAGCAACGCCGTGTCTCCTGGTGCTTCCACCCAAGGTCACAACATGAACTTGATGTTGAACAAGAGCCTAAAACAATTTTTGGCAAGTGAGGAGACTGACAGTGTGCTGTGCCAAGAGCTTTCCAAGAGGCTCTGGAGCAGGCTGTGCTCATAAACCCTGCAGAGAGCCACTGCGTGGGGAAATGCTGAATCACTGCAGCTTCCTCTGAGCTGCCACTGAGCCTGGATAAATCCATTCTCAGCAACTTCTTTAAGAAGTGTTTCTTAGGAAAGTGTTTTTAAACAAAACTGAAATTTCTGTTTCATGCCATTATCTTAAGGAAAGGCTAATTAAGCCCAAGCTCTTGGAATAGAAAGATTTTCTGAGCCTGTTTCCAAAACTGCCATAAAAATTTGCATTTTCATGATGCTGTTGTTCTCTTAAAAAAAAAACCCCTCTTCTACACCCCAGTCCCACTGCCCTGAGATATTCCTGCAGACAAGTGGCTCTGTCTGCTTTTTTTCCCCCCAGCTGCATTTGCCAGAAAAATCCCAGAGGGGACTGAGACTCCTGCCCCACAGTCTTTTCATAAAACCTGAGCCACATCTTAGTAACAGCAATTGTAAAGAAATTAAAGTCATGGGAAAGCACCTCACTCCTTACTGAGGAAGGGAAAAAAGAGAATAGCAAAAGATTCAGAGAAAGAAAAAATTAAGTTGTTTATAGCAGAAGCTTTCCTTAAAGACTTGAATACCTGTGGAAA